CGGGTACGGGGGTGGGGGGGGGTCTTGGGTGCGGGTCCCTGCTCGTGCCTAGGGTGTCCTCTTTTAGCTGGGGAAGGCTGTTGCGGGATTGCTTAGCAACCGCGGCGTCCTCCTGCAGGTGCTGTACCGCGCATGCGCGCGCTTGGAGTTCGGCCAATGGTAGCGGCGTCTGCAGGTGGCATGCCGCGCATGCGCGCTGGGCGCTGTCCGGGCCGGGCCGGGCTGGGGATGCCACCAGTGCAAAAGCGCCCCCTGCTGGCGGGACTTGGCGCATGCGCGCTGGGCGCTGCCCGGCCCAGGAAGCACGTGCTGTAGGGGGAGCTGCCGGGCAGTGGGGGCAGAAAGGCCGGGGCCTGGGGGCTTCTGCCCAGCCGTAGCAGGCCCCAATTCCACCCAGCTGCTGTGGCACTGATGCCCCCTTCCCACCTCATCCAATCTCTCCTTGCCCCCAGGCACTGCTGCTGTGTGCACCTCAGTGCAGGGCACTAGCTTCACAGACAGAAGGGGAGGCCCAGGTGATGCGGGTACTGCAGCAGAAGTTCCCCCAAGCCTCTGCCATCAAGGTGGTGGATATTTCCGGTAAGCGGAGGCCTCTGGGCTGGCTGCGTCTGGTGCATGGCGTCATGATGGGGGGTGTTGGGGGACAAGCGGAGCTAGGCAGGGGCCTCCAGGTTTGCTTGCAGAGCAGCGTGGTGGAGGAGGCAAGTGCATGGAGTCTGAGGTGTGGTGCTGGGGGCTGGTATCTCCTTTTCTGGACTGTTGAAGATGTATGGATCTTTCCTGGGAATGGTCAGTGCCTGGATGAGGCTGTAGGTTCTATAACTTGGCAAATAAAAAAACCCCTAGGGTTCTGAATTAGCTTAAGGAATTGACACAGCACCTCATTCGATGAGTAACAGAAAGGCTTTTATTTACTATAAATATTCAAAGTCAAATGAGCCCAAACCAAAGCAAAATTCAGTAGTTAGCTATAAGGTGATGATTTCTCACCAAACAGGTGACAACAGAGACAGTCTGTATCTTCCAACTGTCCTAGCTAGGATAGCTGTCCTACTCCCTCATGGGGCTCTGCAGCCATGCATTGTGGCCCCAAGCCCTACCTGGGGCTCATGGGAAAATGGCAAAATCTGTGGGTTTCTCTGGTAAAATGAGAAATCCGCATTTGCTTCCAGTTAAAGGTAAAATCCACGGTTTACTCCATTTTTCTGTGGAGAACGGAAAACCCAGATCCCTGGGTATTGGAAAGTTCCAATTTGAATGAATTGCCTTCCTCAGTGACGAGAGGTTATTCATTTCTACTAAGTTTGGTACATACCAAAAAACTGATTAATAACCAGGAAAAACATGAGGTTTTGGGGAGTGTCCTTGGAAAATCATGGGATCCACTAGCCAAAACGTAAATAAATCAGAAGGAGACATCTATCACATATGGAGAATGGCTCTTTCTGTACATAACTTGAGTTAATTGCAAGAGAAATATTTACCATACTAATTAATTAAGGATAAACATTTAATACTGTTACATACTAGACAACTAGGAGCCTGCGTGAAATCATGAATGTTAGTAAGATAAGCTAGAAGGGATACTTCATTGTTTCTTCTCAGATGGCCTAGCTGTGAACTTGCATCCTTTTGCACTATGCAGTTAGTATCAGTATTCTGGATTTTAACTCATTGTGAGTAGGCCCCAGCTTAGCGTGAATTTCAGAGTCCTCACTAGTATCTTGTGTCACTTAGCGTCAGAAGGTGGACTCTGTGGGGAGTGGGGTGTAGCCATAATCTCCCCCTTGCCTCACTCGCATTGCAGCTTCCAGCCATCAGAGGTGTAGAGGGGGTTGCCTCAGATTCTGCCCCCTAAATTGTCTTCCTTGTAGCAACCAGTGGTCCTCTTCTGTGTGAATTTGGCTGGTTCCTCCTTTAATCATGGCCAAGTACAAGTGCATGCAGTATTGGGTGACGAGGAGGTCTGCAACATAATGGTTTGGTGCGTGGGAAAGAGCTTTTTTGAGGCAGTTCTAAATGTGGCACTTAGTAGTTAAATGTAGCCCCTGGCTTTGATATTGCATGGCACTGAAATTAAGCAACTGGTAGTAATGTACTGTGCTCCATTTAATGGAGTCTAGAGATCTATACTGGTCTCCTTCAAGAGCTAGTTTTCTAGGCGGAAGAGTCCTCACTTGTGTAAGCTCTCAGTGTACAAAAGGCCTACCATTCTCCTGATCATCCTGGCTGGTCTTCTCAGTCCCTTTCCTAGCTCTTCTATCTTGCTGTAGCAGTGTGGCAACCTGAATGGTGAACAGTGCTCAATGGGTGCCTCTCCTCTGGCTTTCAGATAGGTTGTAGTTTTAACTGGGGAATTGCCTTTTTGTCTGAGGCTTCATCCCAAGTTGATGTAGTAAGCCAGCTGTTGTTGATGGTGCCAAGATCTCTTCTTTGCATGGGAAAAGAGAACAGAGAGCCTGTCAGCACGTGGATGAGTTGCCTTAGGTTTTCTCACGTGCACTGTTTTGCATATAATGATACTGAACATCATCTGTCCTTGCGGCGGCGGCCATTGGCTTGAATGTGCAAAATCCTTCTTTGTGCCCATTGGGATGGTTTGTGGGATGTGCCCTCAGTAAGTCTTTGCAGTCTACCTCTATTTACTGTTCTGAATTTTTTGGATCAGTTAGACTACATTATCCTGTGGTGGTATTAACACAGATCCCTGGGGGACCCTGGACTGGCCCATTAGTCGCCATTCCTCGTTTTTTATCCTTTAGCCCAGCATCTCCATTTCTGTTACCACCTCGACTGCTGCCCCACTGCGCATTGGTTCTACTGACCGGTGCCCTGGGAGGAGCAGCTCTGGTGAGGGAACATCCTTAACCTCTTCTGTAACAGGTGAACGCAGAGAGCTCTCTTAGTTTCTCAGCATTGGTGGTATCCTTCTGCATCGATCCCTCAATGCCCTGATTTTATCCCATTAGATAACCGCGGTCCGGCTGACCCTTAGGATGACTTCTTGCGTGCAGCAGACCTAGAGCTGATATGGGTATGTTGTTAGTCTCTAGCAAGTGTCTCCTTTGCCTCTCTTATAGCTCTGTGCTCGTCAGGGTTCCCAGCGCCTTGCCTGAGGTGAGCGTCTTTCCCTACGTGCTTCATTTCGATCTAACTTGTGCTATTTCAGTGAAGTGTTTTTTCCATGGCCTAGCCTCTGTAGCCTGGCACGGGACCAGGCTGGCTGGTATGTAGCATGCTTTCTGTCTAGGTGTGTGACATGTGGTGGGCGTTTCCCAGGCGTCTCCCATGTGGAGTGACTAAGCAGGCCAGGTCGTAACTGTCCTTGGTGCTACTCAGGACTGCTTTCCCAGAGGTCTGCTCAGATCTGTGTAGGTGCTGGGGCCGTTTGCATTCAGTCTCTTGTTCTGGAAGAAGGGCAAAGGCACAGTGGCTGTCACAGAATGGCTCTGCAGCAGTGGCCCTTTGTACCAAATCCTGTGCCCTGCCTAGGCCTGCATTATACCTGGGCTTTTGGGTAGCAGGTAGCTGAAATAAGGCCTTGAAAGAGCAGTCAGGTATGGGGCCCAGGAAAGTTGCTTCTGCCTCCTGCCCTATAGTGCAAGGTACCCAGGCAGCATGAGGATGAACAGAATTGTGCAGCATGATAGCAGCATCTGCTCTTGCAGCATTTCTCTGTTCCAGGGGCGTTTCTTGCCTCTGCCATCCGGGGCTGGTGGCTGATGGTCCAGGCCAGAGGCTGGTGCCTGAGGTCCTTGCCACACGTTTTATTTTGGACATGCACCCTACATAGTCCCACCCAGTGCCAGGACTTTCTGGTTACCCTGCTTTTGGCTGTGGCCAGAGTGCCCATCTACCAGACTAGGAAGGATCATGGACAACTGTGCAGCTGCCTCACTTTGTCTTATCTGTGCACGTCTCCCAGCTGAGTTTTGCTGGGTGCTGTCCAGTGGCTCCTTGAACACATTTGAGAGTCAACGGGTGAGCGCCTCACTTCTGCTCCTGATTCTTCTTGCACTGTCCCAAAGTTTTAATCTGATGCATTTAATGGCCTTCCTCTAATGAAGGCAGGCTTATAGTTTCCCAGAGGATCAAGGTTACTGTCTGTGAGTAGCAAATAAGCCCATTGCACCTAGTATCGGAGTGCAGGTGCAGAGGGGGAGGATGAATGGGGCATGTCCAGGATTTTCCCCACTCTGCTCTTCTTCCGTGGCAGCTTCCAGTCATTGGAGGTTTTGAAAGGTCAGAATTGCTGGTGTCCCCCTGATGTACCATGGTCTGAATGCTGTTGACTTTCTTCTGCGTGATTCTGCCCCATCGCGTTTTAAATGTGGGTCCGCCCAGCATTGTGTTGTGATGAGGGCCACAAGGTGATTGTGTGCTGTATGGAAAAGAGTTCCCATGAGTTAGGTTTAAAGTTGCCACCTAGTAGGGGAAAACAAAGTCCCTGGGTTCTAGTCTGGTGAGGGAGGCACCGGAGAGGCATTTTGTGTAGGCTGGGGACTTAGACTGGGCTGTGCCACTGCTCCTGCTGGGACCAAAGCTGGAAGTTCCTAGCTAGAGGGTCTTCCCCTCTGTTCAGGGTCAGACTGATCCCCCAATTTGGGGCCAGGAAGGAATTTCACCCCCTGGTCAGACTGATAGGGACCGCTGGGGGGCGGGTTGGCTTCCTCTGTAGCTGGGAGTGTGATCCCCTTCCTGGGATCTCTTGATTGTATGTTTGCAACATTTCATAGGGTGTTGGCTGCTGTGTTGGTCAGGTCAGGGTGTTGGCTGCTGTGGTTCCCCAGCTTTCCCCGTGGCAGGTTCGGGGGTGATGTTTTGTGCTGTCAGGGCTGACGGTAGTCTTATGGAGAGTTTAGATGATGGATATGTCTGAGATGGTCAGGATGGGACTGATCCTGCCTCAGGCAGGGGGTTGGACTAGAGGTGATCTCTGGAGGCCCCTTTCAGCCCCACTTCTCTCTGACTCTGTGAATTTGTGCCTGGTCCCAAGGTTGCCGTTGTTGTCCCTAGCTGCCTCCCTGTCACTGAAGGAGGTTCCTAGTTTTTCCATCTGCCTAGCTTCCCCTCCACACCTTCTGTCTGTATAGCTAAGTAAAGTAAAAAGCTATGCGCACCATAGCCAGCCAGGCGAAGGGGGCTTTAAAAGCTAGTCTCACCCTCATAGGCATTTTCAGTAAGGTGTGCTGTAACAGATAGCTTTATTGATCAAAGAGTGAGGAAGGAATCCAAAACAAGGGAAAATTGAAAGAAAACCGACTTGAGCAAAGCAGAATGGGCTTGTTGGCCCTTTTGATACGCGGATAGTTCATTTAATCCTAAATTACTGGCTTAATTTTAGGTAAGTTACTCACATGTTCATCCAGAGACGGATGGAGCTGTGGAGGCCTATTGCTTGTTTCAGTGTCCCATAATGACTTCTACCTCCAAAACGGAGTGACCCCTTTTAAAGCTTTTGTGACCTTATCACTATGTCCCAACCAGAAACAGGCATTATTGGATGTAGACCAACCCTCAGGCAGAGAGGCCAGGTCACCAGGTTGTTCTGAGGGAAAAACTCAGGACAAAGGAAGAGTGAGCAGCTCCCCCTCCCTGTGGAGTTGTCACACCCCAGTCACCCAGCTTGACCAGGTGGATCCAGCAGCCAGTTTGAAAGAGGGGGCTGGGCAGACTCAGAGCAGGGAGGCAGACGAAAAGGACAGCTTCACAAGGGCCACCCGGTGATGGAGTGGCACGAGGGCAAAAGTCTCTGTGTTAGATGTGAAATGGCTACCTTGCGAGTGAGACCTAAGGAATGGTAGTGCAAGAGCAATGTTGTAGCCGTGATGGCCCAGAAATGATGCAGGAGGCAAGGAAAGTTCTTGCTTTTGGCATCCTTTGTGGACCGCTACAACACCAATCTTACACTATTTAATATGTGGTTGTTGAGTCCTGTGGGTCTGCTGTCTTGAGAAGGGGAGAGAGAGAAATCCCTGGGTGCTGTCTCTGTGACACACAGTAATTCACTGCATGTATTTCATCCCCTTCCAAGTGGTCATTATCAAGGTCAGAGAACCTTAGCCTACATCACCCCTCCGTGCCTGTGATCACCTGTATTGCTCCTCTGCATATTGCCTGTGGATCTTTATCCTTTGTCAGGTTTGGCTGGTTAAAATATGTGCTGTGAGTGGCAAGGGTGTGGGAAAGATGTCTGGAGACATGTCACGGGTAGTAGCATGGTTATCACAGAGTGAGGAGGGGAGGCTTTTAGGGACTTGTGACTCTGAGGTCACTTTCCTGTTGTAGCCTTTTGTAAGTCTGAAGCTGTTCAAGGGTCGGGTGGTCTAGAGATGCTTGTAGTGGCCTGATTCTAGGTTGACTAAGGGAGGAACAGGTGAATGGTGTGCTCAGGTGAGAGACTGTCACAAGGTGTGAACTATTTTAGACAGCTCGGGGCAGGTGCAGTGAAGAAACTAGTGTATAAGTGGCCTACCTTGAGGGGCTTGATGGTAGATCAGGCTAACAGTAAGCAAAGATGAAGCCTGTATAGGCAATAAGAATATATGGATGGCTAATAATTCCAGTAGCGTCTCTTAGGAACATTGTAATATAAGTTTCTACCTTATTTGGTCAGCTTTTTAATATTGTAGCCAAGCAGTAGAGTCTAAAAACGTAGACTCCCCTGGGATTTTTGCTCTTCAGTCCTGAACTGCAGTTGTTGTTCAACTGCCAGCTTGCCAGGATACCCACTCAGGGCTGTGTAGTCACTTGGTTTGCAAAACCTGGGTAGGAAGGTCCTTTTCCTAACAGGCTGGCCACCTGTTAGAGACTTTCTAAGACTTCAGGACTCAGAAGTGTTAAAATTAAGTTGCTTTTTTCCCTGGTGCCTGGCTGTGGCCTGGTTGACGCCTGGCGGTGTGCCAGTCCAAGCCCTCCCCACCTAATGCTGCTCAAGCCCCCGCTGTCTGGGCTGGATCCTATAGTTTTGTTGGCTTAATGGAGCTGGCAGGCAGTGTAGGTCGGGTGGTGGCTGGGAGTTCCCTGGGTCTGCTTTGGAGCCCATCCTGATGATTGGGGGTGTGGTGCAGGGACTGTGTGTAGGGATCAGGTGCCTCCTGCAGGGAGTAGGTCTCCAATCTCAATGTGTCGCTCCCACAGTATGCATGGGGTGGATGTCAGCGAGGTGCTGTGTTGTGGTGCGGTGGCCACCCTGCAGCATGTGTGTGACAGCTGGGGTAGGAACAGGCAGGCAAATTGGGCAGGGAGCGGAAAGCAGAACAGGAGATTGGGGAGGCAGCACAAGGAAGGAAGCAGAAAGTGGAGCAGCAGGTTGGGCAGGAGAAGGGAAGCAGAGTGGAAGTTGGGTGGGGTATGGGGCTAATTTGTGGCATGTCCACCACAAAAGGTTTGCCTGCTGCTGTGGCTGATCTATTTTGTGGCAGAGCTGCCGCCTGAATGTGGATTGTGTCTAGGGACCCGTGTCCTGGGAGGAGTGGCTCAAGTGAGGGATTGGCCGTAACTTCTGCCTGCATTGAAGGCTGATGTAAAGATCTCCTAGTTCCTGGTTGATGGCGGTCTCTGCCATTGGAGCTCCATTTATTCCCCAGTTTTCCAGTGGTGCAAGTGCCTCATTGCCAGGACTTGTGCCTGTCATCCAGGTAGAGTGACCTGTCCTGCTAGTCTCCAGCAAGTGTCTCCCCAAAACCCCATGTCTCTTGTTCTCACATGGGTTTCTTGTGAGTTGCCAGACTGGAGTTGCATGCCTGCACTTGGTGGGGTCCCGACCTCCATGTGATAAATGAACCAGCCTTCTGGGCTGCCTGCCTGGCAGCACAGGGGCTGGGTTGTGGCTCCGATGGTGCGGGCCATGTGTGACAGGTCAGGATTTTTGCGGGCGTTGTTTTTTCATGGGTCCCATTGATGGCAGGGCCGGACTGATGTAAGCTCTGACAGAGCCAATCCATAAGGGGGCAAATGTGGCTTCTCTGCCAGCTCGGGGAGATGGCGGCTGGTGTTGGAAGGTGGCGCGTTCTTTCTGCCCCGGGCACTGGGTCCCAGAGAAGAGGTTGGCCTGGCCACACAAAGTCTTAACTCCTCCAGTCTTTGTGGCATGGTGTATGTTGGCTGTGATGTGAGGCTTGTCCTTCCTCTGTCTCCAGCATGGTGTTTATTGGCCATTCCAGCGGTCCAAGGGGTTACCCTGCATCAGTGCACTTACAACATCTTTGTTGCTGGCAGTGTCCTGTGTGGCTTGGTGAAGGTCAAAGGTGCTGTGGCGGAGCATCTCTGGCATCCCAGAAGGATGTCCAATGTGGCGATATGGTAGTGGGTGTCCTGGAGCAGGTCTGTCACTGGTGCTCTTACTCCCTGTTCTCCTGCCATGTTGGGGTGCAGGCTTTGTGCCGGTAGGTGGCAGATCCAAGCGCCAGCGAGAGCGGTCCGTTTGTACGGTGCCTCGGAGTGTCTGTGCAGCGTCTGTGTGTCCTGGCGCAGGGTGGGTGGTATTCGGGTGATGTCGGGGTGAATGCAAGTGGCCAGTTTGGCATTTGTGGCCTTGTGCCGTTCCATTACTTTGTTGGAGTGAGGCTGCCCCTCTGGGCTGGAGGCTCGTAGGATGTCCTGGCCGCTTGTGTGCCTGAGGTTTTGCCTTTCCTTTCCCCCATGCCTTTTTTTTTTAACACACGCTCTGTATGCAGCACAAGCAAAGCTTGTTTCCTTTTGTGTAGGCTCCCCAGTTGGCTGTGGGACCAGGCTTCTTTGTGATGTCGGAGCTGTCCTGGAGCTGAGAAGCACTAGGAAATGTGGACAGGCCAGGGTTTCTGGGGGCCATACCGTTTTAGGGGACCAGGAGTGTGGTGGGGATGGACCCAGTGAAGCCTGGGAAAGAGGTGTTTGCCAGGGGAACTCGAGGGACTCTGCTGCACTGTGTTTAGTGGCCTCCCTAACTAGGTTAGTCATTTCCTGTCAAGCTTCTGTCCATCCGGATAGCCAAAAGCCCTGGTGGAGGGTGCCTGGGGCATGTCCAGAAGTGTGTGTCATCCATCCCCCTGGGTTGTCTGACTCTGCTGCTTTTTGCTGTTAGAGGATTTGGAAAGGCCAAGTTACTAGTTCCCCCCTGAGTCTGCCACAGCCAGTCTGTCAGGAGGGTCCTGTCTTGCATGTATATGGCCTCTCCCTTTGGGAATGGATGTCTCTGGCAGATGTCTAGGGGACGGTGTAGGGACCAAGGTCCCAGGGCAACGTATGCAAGAGCTTCTGCAAAGTGGCTTTAGAGTGGTGACCTGCTCGTCCCGAAGGCAATCCCCTAGTGCCACCTGATAGAGAGAGAGAGAGAGACAGAGACAGTGAGAGATCCCTGGGGACTTCATGGCCACTGTGTAATGTACTGGTGACGTGTATCCTGCCTCCTCTGGAGCATGTCTGTCCTAGGCTGTACAGTCCTAGCCCTGGAAACCCCCCTGGATCCCTGATCAGTCTGAGTGTTGTGGTGTGGCCCCTGTCCAGGTGTTTGGCAGCCTCTCTCAGGTTTGGCAGCCTTGTAGGCCTGTGATGATCTTGGTGGGCACCTGTGTAGGCGTAGGATAGATTCTGCGTGTTGTGGAGTCTGTCTGTGGGGGCTGATGCTGAATGGCAAAGTGAGGCTGGCGGGAAAATGTCCACTGTGAATGTGTGGTCCTGGTGCTAGGTAGTTGCAGGCAACTGGGGAGGCCCCCTGTGTGAGTACGTGCCTTGGGGGAATGGTCCCCAGGGCATCACCTTGCAGTTGCCCCTAGTGCCTGTTGTCTGCCATGTTGTGGCCTGTTGTGGTTGGGGCTCTGGAGTGTTGCGAGTCCCCTGCTGACCCGGCCACCTCCCTGTTTGTCCCTCTGCCCTGGTGGGGCGGAAGCAGCTTGCAAAGTGGCGGCCCCTGCACTAATCCATGTGGAATGGCATTGGGATGTAGTATTTTTTCCCAATCCAGTCTGGGAAGTGCCTGTTGATAGCCACTCTTTGTTGCCGATCTGGTAGCCCAGGAGTCTCAGAGCGCTTTTGTCTGTCAAGAAGCGATGGGACCCGCTGCCTCTGGTTCCCTCTGTTGTTTTTGCTGCAGAGCTGCATTGTGGCATGGGGCAAGTGCCTGGCCTGGGGTGTGGCATGGTAGGAGACAAAGCTCTGGCTGTTGTATGCCTTGGAGGTGCCCTGTCTAGGGGTGCCTCCAAGGGTTCTGTAGGCTGGGTGCAGCCCACAGGCCACAGGCGGCTGACCCCCACATTAGCCTGCGTCTGGCAGAGACCAAGCGAATGCGGCCCGCAGAGCACAGGGGCAAAGACGGGGATGAGTGACTGGTTTGGGGTTTGTGGGCCATGTGCTGTGTCGTTGTGTGAGAGGGGCGCATGAGTTGGTTGCGGAGAGAGCGGGCGAGAGCAGGGTGTCTAGAGGGAGGTGCTTGGGAGATCCTGGGTGTGAGACCTGACTGAGCTGGTGTGTCTCTGTCTTGCAGGGGGCTGTGGGGCCATGTATGAAATCCACATAGAGTCAGAGGAGTTCAAGGAGAAGAGAACTGTCCAGCAGCACCAAATGGTGAACCAGGTGAGGGGCCCGGTGGCACAGGGCAGGCAGCTCTGGGCCTATGCTAGATAAAACTGGGCAGGAAAGTGGTGTGTGGGAATGTCTGTGTTTCCCAGGCAGCGGGTGTGTGTAGGGCAGGGCTTTGGGGCAGCAGGCTGGATGCCAGCCAGGTAAGGGGCAGTGGAGAGGGTGAGTCAGAGTCTGCCCAAAATCTTGGGGTCTGAAAGGGGAGTGTCTTGTGTCAGCAGAAGAGGGCCCTGGCTGGCAGTGGGGGGCATGCCTTGTCAGTGTGGGTCTTATCAGAGTCTGGGGCAGTTTGTGCTTCCCAGGAGAGGGGTGAGTTTGCAGAGGTGTTGGTGCCATGCGGGGAGGGGATGTCCTGCTGGGGACTGATGCAGAGTCTCCCCACAGGGGAGGAAATGGTGTGCAGCCCTTAACAATGTTGTATATACAACAGAGAAGGCCTGGAGTAGCTTGGGCATGTGGCTTGGTGGGATTTGCTGGGCGCTGCCTTACCTGTGTCTTATGTTGGGGCGAGGGTTGTGAGAAGCGTGGCTTATGACTTGTTACTTGGACAGGCCTGCAGCTGCTGGGCAACAAGGCTGGGTTTGAGCGGCCTGAGGGAAGGGTGTGATCTGCCAGGGGTGTGCTGTGTGCGTGTGCGCCAGCGAGCATGCCAGCTGTGTGGCGATGTCAGTGAAAGGAGCATGCAGCTGTGCAATGGGATGGTTTATGGCAGGGTCTGTAGCAGAAATGTGAGCAGGGAGCGGCAGGCAGGGCACAGATGTGGGGAGGGGCTTGGGGGAAGGGATGGCAGGGGGAGACTGCCATTGGGGTCTCCTGCTGGGCAGGGCCAGCCTTTTGTTATCAAGGCTGCTGGAGAGTAGGTCATCCTGTGGGGGTCTGGTTCCAGTTGGAGTTGGTTGCAGCTTGCCGTGGGCAGGCAAGCCTGGGGCTGGGGCTCTGGGCCCCACAGGTGCTGAGGAGTAGGTTGATGGTTTGGTTTGGTGTGGGTGTGCAGAGGACAGAGGAGCGTGAGGCTCTGCTGATCTGCTGGGTGTGCAAGCACAGGCTCTGCAGGGCAGCTGTGTTTGGAAGTGAGTTCCCATGGGGAGCTGCTGGGCATGTGGGAGTCAGTCGTGCGTGAGCTGTGCCTGGTGTAGGGCGAAGCGGCAGCTGGGCAGAGCAGAAGTGCCAGCCTAGGGAGTCAGACGTGGTGCTGTGTAAAGTGGGTGCAGGGCAGGGGGGTTGTGTGCGGGAATGGGTGCCAGGGGTCAGACTGACCTGGCTGCGGCAAGGCATGTGCCAGAGGAGTGGGCAGCAGCAGTGTGGCCTGCAGAGCAGGGCACTTGGGGCCAGTCAGGTGGCCTGTGTAGGTTAGCTGTGGCTGTCTTTCAGGGGAAGGCCAGCAGGAGGCCTCTGAGCCAAGGTCAGGAGAGCTGAGTGGCACGGTGTGGCGTAGCCCTCCTCCAGGAGCAAGGAAAGCAGGTCAGGGGGCAGAAGCCTGGGGGGTGAGGTTGGCAATTGTGAGTCAGGCATGTGTCTTGGTTGAGGGGGTGTATGGTGTATCGTAAGGGGGGTGGGAAGTGTGTGCGGGGCCCCCTGGGCTGTCCACAGGGGTGTCGTTTTTCCTTTTGTAGGCACTCAA